ATTCCGGGTACACGGGCGAGGGCCACTCGGGACACGAGCGGGCGAGCGGCGCTCGGCGACTGTGCGACTGTTGTTGCCGTGCGCAGCGCGCCGGCGGACTAACTCCAGACGCGGGTGGCTGCGCGGAAGGAAGCGGCGGCGGCGGCGGCGGGCGGACGCGCGCCATCCCCGACGAACGGCTTGGGGCGCCTCGCGGCGGGCGGCGGCAGGCGAGAGGATGGAACGGTGGCCTGGACGGACGCTTCCGGGGAGCACATCCTGGCCGGCGCTGCGCGGGCGCGCCGGAATAGGCGGCCGCGCGACGGTTCCGCCTCGTGTGGGCTGCGGTTGCGCGCGCGGAACTCGTGAGGCGCGCTCGTGACGCGTTTTTTCTTTGGACGAGACGCGTTTTTTCTTTTTCTTCTGGTCGTGCGAGGACTGTGTTTGTTTCGAGACTCTGCTCGCGGTTCAAGAAACTTTGTTCGCGGATTGAAGGTTTTCCGGACAAATTATAGCCTCCAAGAACGTTTTTAGAAGTGTTTATTAAAAAAAAATTCTTCGATTATGATTAACCCGATAAGCGAAGCCGCAAAGTGATATTCCTTACGTGAAACAATACCGCGCCGAAGAAAATTTAATACTCTCAAGAAACACGTCCTGGCGCGACGAAAACAACAGGAAATTTCGTCGCTCGATTGGAAACTTTGTTCGCGAATTGAATGTTCTCGGATAAATAATAGGAAAGGACGTTTCTGGAAGTGATTAAAAAGTTAGAGAGTAACCCGATAAGTGTAGCCGCAATGTGATACTCGTGACTTGAAACGTAATAACGCGGCAAAGAAAAAATAATACTCTCAAGACATACCACGTCCGACGAGAGCAACAGGGAAACTTTCTCGCCCGATCGGCAGTTGAGTCCAACGTCCACGGGTTGCCACGAGACGCCCCGACTCAGCGAGTGCGGCAGGTGTTTTTTCCGCGCCGAGCGGCGAAGCAGCGCTCCCGCGCGCGAGCGGGTGTGACGAGCAACGACCACGTCCCCCCGAGGCGCTGCTGGGCGCGAACGCTGCGCGAAGCGTGTTGACACGCGCCTGGCGACGGCGGGCCAAGCAACTCGCGGCCGAGCGCGGTGTCGCCGTAATTGGATTAGCGGGTTCCGCGTCGGGAGGCGACGATTGGACCGATAAAACGCGTGTGAGTGATACTTCATCCTTTTGAACAAAATGTAACGTATCTTAATGATATGATGGAGATTTGTCTATCTGATTCGATATTTTGAACCCACTGGATTAAATTACAACGATTCACTACGCCATTCAAGTATATCATATAATTGCCATCGATTGTCAGCAACGTTTTGCAACGCGCTCATCAAAAAGTGTCGAAGAGAGAAGATCATTACAATTAAAGAACGCGCACAACTCCACAGTGCTGAATTTACGCTTTTCGAGGGAACAATAAACCTGCCTTTCCTCTGCCTGCATTCATTAGTGGAAATCTTCCGCACTTGGCGGTTGCCGTATTCGCCGAAGCGAGTAGCTGTTTGAGCAACCCACAGCAAGTACCGCGGTCGAACCGGATTCCTGCGCCGGCGTCCCTGCAGGCGGATAACAAATTCCACCGACGACACGGGAAAGCCATTGTTGCCTGCGCCCGCTCCCCCGCGACACGCGCTGACGCGAGCGCTGATTCACTTCGAAGGTAGGGCGTGTTTGTTGCCGCGTTACCAAAGTGAGTCGTAGAAGAATCATTCGCCCACTGAGGAATAGTTCAGCCAAGTCCATTAATAATGTGCGTTTGTTATTGATTGGTTGCAATACGTTTCGTGAAGAGGTGTGCATTGCAGTGAAATAAATTACCTCGTTTCGTGGCCTGGAGTGCGCTAGCGACTAGTCGTCGAGCGATGCTGTGAGCGCGCGCCCGCTGGCGAGTGGGCGTGGGCCGCCCGGGCCGGCGGGGGCGTGTGCCCCGCGCGCCGCCC